TGCATGTTCATTGAAGTGTACGTGCTTTCTAACTTTGTCCATCTCTTTTCAAACCCAAAACTTAACAGCTCGCCGAATCTTTTCTGAAATAAGGTGAAAAGATAGGTTCTACTGGCCAATCCGAAACTTATGTCGGAAAATGGAGCGTCCTCCGTCCCTAAAATTACTAACCGAGTACCATACCATTGGAACAGCTTGGCTAATTGCATCACATAATTTGCGTCATCCATAGTTGCGAACGTGTTACCCCTTGGTACCGCCTGATTTCCAGATTTAGACATTTTCTTTGGGGTTTTAATACTGTGCAGAAAATTTGCCATTACGGTCTTATCCAGGCCAAAATTTAGATAGGCAACTTTATTATTTAGCTGGTGAAACTTTTTCACTAGATTGGGTTTGTGCTCGAACAGAGTTATATAATCTGGAATTAGGCTGTCTTTCAGCAGGGATGTGTCCAGTAAAAATGTAGTAGTCGAGGTTATCGATGAAGTTGTAATAATTGGAATTTCTGAGTCCACCAACAATTTCCAACTAGGCGGAAATATTGGTAACGGTATTGCACTTAGGTAGGAGAAAATAGATCCCATATATAAATTATTCATGATTATAAACCCAGCGCCAAAAAACCAAACAATTAGTATCGGCATTGCAACCCCTTCCTTGTTATGGAACATCGTAAAACTGTCCCCATTCACTTGTCCGACCAGAATGGAACTTACATTTAGGAAATCTTTAATGTAAGAAAAATTGAACTTTCTCTGTGCCGCGGCATAAAATCGGTATGTAAAATGACAGTTTTCAAAGCGAAATTCAACTTTGCACAGTTCGCTCGGTTTTCCTTCTGTATGAATCGGCCATCCGTTAAAGTTAAGGGGACGCTTCCGATTTACATAATTTTTAGATAAGGTCCCCTTAACTTGGATAAGTGAGGTCACGCAGAAATAACAGAGTTCGTAGAGATCGTGAGAATTTGTCAGATAAAAGTAAATATTTGCATTAAATTTGAAAAAGGTTACAAGATTTGGATTTTCTGGAAGAAACTTTAATCGAAACACGAAATTATGGCCAATGAAAGAGGTCGTCAGTTCTTTCACATTTTGAGTTCCGGCATCAGATTTTGCCGAACATCCAATAATTAAAGTGATCCCTAAACAACAGCCGATTAAAGAAACCCAGACAGCACAAGTAAACGGAGATAAGAATAAAGTTAGACCTTCAGAAGCAGTAGGAAGTGGGGCAACATATGCAAATTTTACAATGTCATGTTTAACACTATAGGGAACCATGACTTCTACTTGGGTAATGTCGGCAAATGAGTCCTGGTAGAGGTAACAATCTAGCCCAAAGTGATAAATAGCTGTCTCCGACTCGCTTGCAATATCGTTAACAATGGAAAAATTGAATGTTCCTGAGAGTGATTTAACCGAGCAATATTGAACGGACGACAAGGCTGCTTTGAAATTTGGTAAAGACACTTCACATTGAGTCCCGTCTATCGGATGGGAAGCAGCAACACTGACTGGTCTCTGGTTAAGATTCTTATTCAATGAAACCCAAATCTATATTATAATTTCGAAAAGTCCGTCCCGTGAAATTTTCCGTGACATTCCAGCATTCTGATTGGCTGCCGGCTTTCTGTGTCAGCCAATCACAGCACGGATATGATTATAGTTATGATTACGGTTATGATTTCGGTTATATTGGGGTTTTGATTTCGGTTATGATTTCGGTTATGATTTCGGTTATGATTTCGGTTATCGTTTCGGTTATGATTTCGGTTATGATTTCGGTTATGATTTAGGTTGCGATTTAGGTTATGATTTCGGTTGGGAGCAACCAGAAAAATATTCCTTAGCAACGTAGAAAGATTTCTTAGCAACGTGAAACAAATCATTAGCAACGATGAAAAGATTCCTTAGCAACGTGAAAATAGATTCTTAGCAACGTTAAAAAAATAGCTTAGCAACGTTAAAAAATAGCTTAGCAACGCTAAAAAATTCCTTCGCTACGTGAAAAAAGATTCCTTAGCAACGCTAAAAAATTCCTTCGCTACGTGAAAAATGATTGCTTAGCAACGTGAAGAAAGATTGCTTAGCAACGTGAAAAAAATTCTTTAGCAACGATAAAAAAATCCCGAACCAACGTAAAAAAATCCTTAGCAACATGAACAAAGTTCATGTAACAAGTTCCCTAGCAACGTTAAAAAAATTCCCCAGTAACGTGAAAAAAATTCCTTCTCAAGGTTTAAAGAAATCCTTAGCAACGTGAAAAAAAATTCTGTAGGAAGCTGGCAGCTAACCAGAATGCTGGAATGTCGTGGAACGTCTAACGGGACGTTTCGACGTTTTAATATATTTGGATGTATCTATCTCGAATTATAATTTGGGTATAGATTAGTACATCGCGCCCATTACATATGTAGTGCTTTCATCTAAGGTTTTTGGTGTGTTGGCTTAAAACTTTACCTGTGGACCGTCTTTAAGACGGGCTTATAGGCTAGTCATTTATATCTTAGAAATCGTGAAATCTCTCTGAGTGGTGGACACGCCCACTGCACCCATCGAGTCACACGAAACGCAAGGAATACATACCAAATCAGGAAACTCAGAATTGAACAAGATCACGGGTGCCATTATGGTTCTGGGGCGAATGCAATAGTTATTGCAGGGAAATTCTACATGCTGAAATATAAAATACACCGGGGACAAATAGGTTATAATTAAATCCTGCATACAACTATAAATTGGGATTCCATAAATTTCTTCTTTCACGAGGTCCGAACTTAGATCATGAAATATTACGGATATTCTGGACGCCTTATACTGGGCAAGTCTTGGGGACTTCGATCTTCCTAGAATGTCCTGGTGTGTTTTGTTAATTAAGAACTGATAAAGAACACAAGGCGAGTAAGGGTTTAGTTGACGTATATGAGTAAAATAGGATAACGTTTTGTCCCTTGAAGTAACACCTGTTGGCCAAGAGAGAAACGTGACGTCACAGTTTTCAAACAAGTTAAACTTTTTCCAGGCACTGATTCTTTGAAAAAGGTTTAGAATCAATGCTATCGAAATTAATCGTGCCCTCATTCTGTCCTTAATGTATGACAGCAAAAGCAGGACTCCTATTCAATTTGGATGTTCAAGAGAGATGACATGTATTAGAAGTCAGCTGTTCATATGTAAATACATGTATGTATGCGAGGTACCTTTTTTAATGAGTTTTTTTTACATCAGGACCTGACCGTGCATGGTACCACACACTCGAATCGCATTGTTGAGTTCGTAATCGTAAGATCATACATTGGAGGTGGTATATAGGCGTACCAGATGGAAAGAACAAAGATATCTATGTTAATTGTTAATGAAATTGATCCACACTCAAAAATTTGTCAATTCAACACCGTCGGTGTCAATATATGATTTAACCGCCCTGGTTAAAATGTTGAGTCCGAGTTATGAAGATTTTGATACATACCAGTAGTTATAATGTTATGACCAGACGGAAAAATTTTATTACCACTCGGAATCAGAATTGTAACCAAGGCGGATAAGGCATATATGTATTCACCCCGGCGGTGCTGATTTGACAAATTTTTGTTGTACATTTAGGCAACAAATACATGTCCAAATTACAGGGGTTTTTTTTTCTCACGTGAATCAGTATATCTTGTCATGGTACTTTTTTTTAAAATCATGGTTACTGCGATACCTTGGTATGCTTCTTTGTCTCACCCGCAAAAATGTGTACAAAGACAGCGTGCACACGGTTGATTGTCTGAAGGAGCAAAGTTGCGGGGCGTATAAAAATAAGGGGTTTTAGGTCGATGTTTCAAAAACTTTTCACCTACACCATTTTAAAAATTTTAAACTGATGTTTGCTCAACGTTTGTGGGATTAGGTTAGGGTCAGCAGCTGTGATGATTGTGTGGCATAAAGTTGAGCTTCTACATACGTATCAAAGAAAAAGTAATGAAATAGGATGAAAACTGACAAAGTTTTATTGATACCGTTTCTTCTTGTTTCAAAATTCAAAGTTTGTTTCTAAAAGTTAAATCCATAAGGTATTTCTAATATTTACTTTTTGGAAAATACCAAACACAAAATTATGGGTATGTACATACATAAAAACACAATATGAAAGAAAACTTCCATTATAATTCGCTATTGCCTTATATTATAGTTTATATCATTGGTACAAATGGCATGCCGCATATTTAGTTGGAATTACATGCTTGCGTATTCAGGATGTAATTTAAGAACCGGACATATTGCAAAATAATTTTCGTTGAGACATCGACGATCATTTAGGTTAAAATTGCTATAATTATTTAAATCGAAGAACCCTATTCAATCTAAGGTACAGATATCTATGTACATATATTAAAAACGTATATGCAGTACATGTATATGTAAAAAAAAGTATCGCTTTTTTCAGTTTCTGCAAAACTGAAACGGCTGATATTTCAATGTCACCGAAGTTTCAAATGCAGCCAGGTTTGGGGCCAGGTTTGGGGTCAATGTATGTAAATTGGACACAAGTTTCGAAGACGGTATGCTACTTGGCCCAGGAATAAATATATGTATGCCTGGAAAGACCAATACAAAACTAGGAAAAGCGACTAATTATCAGTGTGAAAAATCAGTAAAATATGTAAATAGGTAAGTTAAGTAAATCAACAAGATATGCAAAGTTCTGAAGTGCATTACACATCTCCACCAGGCCTTCCCATAACCCTGAATCCAAGTATTTATTTACACATATTTGTGCAATTAAGCAATCACATCAGGATAAATGACATTTATCTTAATTGGTCCAAGTTGCTTGATGATAAGCTTGCAAATTTAATTAATAATGGAAATGTTTTACGATAAGAGATGCTTTATATGTGTTAAGGTATTGAAATTAATTAAAATATTTCAAGATAATCAATATGTACACGAACCATGTGACATTATCAATTTGCACTTATCTAACCCCGTATGCAGAATATTTATGCACAGATCAATTTAACTATCAAAAGCGTGAACATCTTATTTAATATCCCCCCGATTTTTAACAATTCTAAAGCACTATTTCACAAAAATTGGTCAAAATGCGTACCACATCTTTCTCTACGGTCGTTTTAACTTTAACATTTCTCCTCATAAGTTTCTGTAATGTTTTTGCGGAAAATTCCGGCCGTGTGACTAAAAATCTGGTCACGGATTCACCTCAGGATTGGGTTTGGTCCAAGAAAGTTGGACCATTGGCGAAGCAATATGTTGGCATTACTCAATTCGTAAGTTATCGAATAAAATTTGTTATTTTTCTAATAAATAAATACTATTTTAATTTTTTATGTAGATGAGTTTCATAAATTTTCTGGAATACTGCCACAAAAATGGGATGCAACCCGCTGAAGTTACTTCGGCCGAGGAGAACAATGCCCTGATCCAGTATTTGGACGACTTTGGTAAATAATGGAAAAAATATTTGTCAGTTTTCGAAACCATTTGCAACCGTACCTGTTCAAAAACTTTGTTTTCATTCAAAACTCATTTCACTTCATCTGACTTCATTTCTTACTTCGCATGTCTTAAGCTTAGCGGAAAAAATGAAAGGTTTCATTCATATTTTTTAAAATTCCTCATATAGAAAACCCGAAATACTTTTGGCTCGGAGGGGCGGATATTGGTCGGGAAGGTCGTTACTACTGGATCGCGTCCCTGCAGGAATTTAACTACACGAGTTGGGGTCAAGGTTACCCGAACGGCGGGAGGGAAGAAAACTGTGCCACGATTTATGGCGGTGATGGTACTTGGTTCGACCAATACTGCGATAACGACCAGATTTGGCCTATTTGTCAAATCGTTACGGAATAGTTGGTAAATATATATGTATTTGGAGCACATATTATCAAAAAAATATTACCATTTGGCATAGAAAGTTACATACATTTAATGATCAATAAAATACTATAATTTAATCAAGAATTATCTTCCTAATAAAAAGTGCTCGGCATAAATCCGACTTCGAGAATTATGTCGGATCAAAGCAAAACTTGGTTTTCTGGACAGTATTGTTGTATGAAAAAATATATCTACGTGCATGGTATATCACGTAATTTTACAAAAAAGAGGGCTAGTAATTATTGGATCAAATCAATTTGAATTTTTGGTTGGAATATTTACGTTACTGAAAGTGAGTATGTGTTTGGGTAGGTAAAATGCAGCAAGTAGTTCATATATGGCATAGGGTCAATTTGACTTATGTGGGTCAGGATGACATCGGGTCAATCTTTCATGTGTCAATCTGACTGGGTCAATTTGGCGTGCAATCGAAATTTTCTGGATGGAATTGCAAAATGTTTAATAACCAAGAGATTGCACTAACAATGCGATTGTGTGAAGTGTAACCCTCCGAATTGCTTGAAATTTTGAAATTTAGTGGTCCATGTCGGCATGATTGTATTGACCTGGCATGTCAATAAAATCAACGTTTCTTCAGGCAGTTTGTGCGATAGTGCGAATTTGTAAAAATATTTGAGGGCAAAGTTGAAAAATATGCTATATCTAATCCTCCAGCGCTCAATTTACATAAATTCTTTGGGAAAATGAGACTATGAATTCCAGCAATGTATTTAGTTGCTGACTGGGATTTTACATAAGAATAGTTATATTGAGTTGAATGCATTAAACTTTATTCCAGCATAAGTTTCGTGCAAGGCTATCTCTCGAAATTAGGCAACTGTGCCTAATAAGACAAAATGACTTATATAGACTAGCCTACATAATTGACTGATATATAATATTTTACATCCATAAAATATGCTGAAGCTTTTATTGAGATATTTTGAACATGTGAAGGACGAAGGCGGCATTACAATTTCTCTGACTGGAATACCCATAATCTAGTTATTTTTGTAGTAAAGGTAGCAAAGACCAATGTGCATAATTAAAGAGTTTGATAATGTTCCAGCACTAACAGGGAGATTGATCAAACGAGCAAGGTTTTGATTAAAGCCACTCTGGCTAAGCCTTTTGTAACAACCTACCGGCATGTAACTTTACATGCCGGTAGTAAAACAGCCCTTTAGGACTGTTTTACTTTTTTCGTATCTTGAACAACGGTAATCTAATTATTTTTGTGGCAAAGGCAGCATAGGCTTATGTAGATGTTTGCGAATTGGATTATGTCTTAGACCTGACGGGGCTCCTTATAAATATGCTAATAATATTTCAGTGGTGGTAGACATTCTGAAAGGGGACCGGCTAAAAGTCTATTTACCATCCTACCAACATAATGTTTGCACAACCTACCTAAAATTATCAAATAGGACTTCTCTATTGTTATTTTAGAAACCTTGATCTGTCTTAATGGAAGATATTCTACAGAACGGCGCTTGAGATTTTTGACAGCACATCATCAACTTGGAGACTTATTCGACTAAATAGGTATTTAATTCGAATAAGTATTCGAATAAATTTAGAGAGTTCTACCGCAAAGTAGGTGGAAACACTGACAAAATTCTCCGTGACAATGTAGCCGTGATTCTATTTGCGCATATTGAAACGTTAACAATATTTCTTCCAATTTTTAGGGGTAGAGAGATTTTAACTATTGCAATGTTCGAAGATTTATACATCCACCATTTTCGTCGCACCGTCCAGGTCATTCAACGGAGTTCGTTTTATAAAGCCCGCTTCATTTTGTGGGATGAGAAAACGAAACGGATTATCTTGAGGGATGGGCGGGCATACCGTTTTTTCCAAACGATATACGCCTCCTTCACCTTTCCCATTCTACCGTTTTTAATATTTCATACCTTCAAACTTACCGTCGAAGACGGTCACCACGACAGGCAAACAATTCTTCTGGCCTATATCGTCACATTGTTCATATGGACACTTGTCCCGTACAGTTGGGTACTAATGAGATATTCCGGAGCGTCTAAATTAATTCAGCTTGCTGAAGTTACATCAAATCTGGATAAACAATTTACAGGTGCACACAACTAAATATGTAGCAAAGTTAAATATAACAACACTTAAAAAATTGTTAAATCATATCCATTTAAATAGATACAGTCTACACGGAAAACTACTCTGTCCAGCCCGACATTTACGCCACCGTATTGCGAATTGGCCGTTGGTGTAAAAAATTCTACTACTGGCTTGACTACTTTATGCCAATTTTAGTTTTATTTGGCAGTTTTGCGGACTCCAATCCTATTTTCGGTATTGTCGTACGCATTCGCCGCTACTATAGGCCAGGACCAGTTGGTCTGCTCCGTCACTATGTGGGGTTGCTTGTGACTGGGTTCTTCACATGGGCGGGAGCTTTGGTTCTGCTCGCATGCATGGGATTCAGCGTATTAGTAACGGGATTTGGAATTGCATTTGTTCAAGGATGGACACAGTTTCTGGTACCCGACAGGTACACTTGTAAGCTTCGGTGTGGGCTAGGTTTTGAGCCTGGAGTCAAAATGTACAAGAATATCACCTATGTAAAAGTCCAATGATGCACACGTCTTATTGGCTTTTTCATATCGTTTCGATGTCAATTTTTAGAAACAAATCAATACTGATGTTACAATGGGCAAAGGGTTAGGTTCAGTGTGGACTTATTTTGAGTTTTCAAAAATTTATACTTCAAAAACCTACCGGTCTCTGAGAAATAATATTGTGGCTAATATATAGAAAACTCTCACGGGCGATATTCTTGAATTTATAAGTTTGGCTTAAGCTAAAACCCAACGAAGTGTGTACAAGTTGAATTTCAGCCGTAAATCAACAATTGTATGTAAATATGTACATAACCTAAATCAGGAAGGAAAATTTTACAATTGTGGAGAATATGTGATTTAATTACGATACAAAAAGTAAGGGAGTTGAGGATTTTGAAAACCTTACGAACAAATTATCTAATTCAAATTATATACATTTATAATTTTCAAAAATATCCAAATTTGTTCATTTCATTTTAACTATTATCCGATCAACATTAGAAACTATACGGAAAATGATATGTTACCTAGTCGTATACACTCAAGTGTCAATGACATATAGCTTTATTACTTTTGTAATTTTCAACTTAGCAATCTTTGATTTATTTTACCGAAAAGCCAGATAAATTTTAATTCAAAAACAATTTTTTGTCTTAAAAATTTCCTCCTCCTGCGTCAATGCCACGCTGAAGACGGGACGACCACTCCTCGATTGAATTACGCACAGATTCCAGGGACATTTTGTGTCATTTCGGGGTCAGAAATTTTTTCCAAGCCTCCGCACTTCTGCGGGGCCTAGAACACACCTTTGCCCTTAACTATGACCATTTTTCATATTCCAATGATTCAAATCCAGCAAGGATGATGACCATTTCTGATTGGAGATAAAGACCGGAATTTGTTTTTTTAGCTACGCTTGGGTCATTTTTTGCACTATAAATTCGTGCTGAGTCCTGCTGAGAGGTCCAATCGATTCCATTGAATTGGATCTCACTTAGGGGATGTACCACGGACTCAAAAACATATTTCAAGAAATTTGATTCCCCCACCTCCCCCCAATTTTCAGCAAAATGTAGAGAAATTCGCCCAATTAGCTCCCACCTGCCAAAATCATCAAAAAACCTGGATAGTGTGATTTTCTGACCTTTTGCCTATATCGGGGGATGTCTCTGACCGATTTTGCGTAGATTAGGACAATTGGCTTGTTAAAAGATTTTTCCGATGTGAAAATCTCGTCATTTGTAAAAAGAATCCTGCTCACATTTTTGGAGCGTACCGATTGAGGTGACTGTTGCATTTCTTTAACCTGGTTTTCCTTTGGGGTACTACCAGGCTGTGGCAAGTACCACATTTTAAAGCCTTAAGCACATGCTTCAATTTGAGCACTCATTGGATAATTTGCATCGACACTGTCAGCAGTTAGCCCGGTTTCCGTTGGAATTTCGTGAATTTCTTCGGATTCCAGGCTTAAGAGGCTTCACGATGGGTGTGGTCCTTGGAGGTTTTCAAAAAATTCTTCTTCGACTGTTCTTAGTAGATTCTGTCCGCATGAACCTTTTTATAGTCCGTTGGGCTAAATTAAAGTACACCTTTGACTTTTGCAACACATGTCAAATTCACTATTTTTCTTGGATTTTATTTTGTGAAAACCCATCTCCGCCCGCTTCTCTTCAATTTTCTATATATTTATCCAGATGTTCAAAAATTACAAAGTCCATAGTGAATCATAATGTAAATCGCATGGCGAATCTAATGCACTTATCAGATTTTAATTCTGCGGCGTAGTTTTTTAGCAATCAGCTATTGACACTTGAGTGTATACGACTAGGTACACAATGTAAAAAAAACTCAGTATCTGGCATTCCTAGTGTAATTAAGCACAAAAACTCAAACTTTTTGTCTTTGTTCACCACTTTAATCAGACTTTAGTAAAATATGTAAGTTTATGTATGCATATATATGCAAATTTAATGGGTACTATTGTATACAATTTTTACCAAAAAATATATTGCATAAGGCATAGGCCAGTCGCCATATAATTATTTCATTTCTACGAATAAAATATATGTAAAATGCAAAATATATTCTGGGGTCAATTTTCGGAAGATCTGGTCTAATGCACGAATTAAGAAATTGCTTATCGATACTGAGCTTCTACACCTTACCTTTAATCATTAATAATTTCTACATTTACAAGTTAGAATTATACTCAATCCTGCATAATAAAGGCGCTGTATGAGTTTTCACATACCGATAATTATATCGACTTAACTTTGACTTGACATCAAGGAAAAGTTTTTTTTTACATTATGTAAGTCCATCTCCTAAAATGACTAATGCATATGAATATTTTAGCTACAGAAAATATTCTGAAGCCATTTAACGAGATATTTTGAACATGCAAAGGGCGGCTTTATTCGTTCTCTTAACTAAAAGCTAAGCTGCTTAAGCTAATTAGATTTATGTATGGTACAGCCAGCAAAGACG